CATTGATTCCTCCTACTCACGGGTGCCTAACCGACCCCGTTGCATCCCTCTCCATCCGTAATGAGTCATATCTACCTTTTTTAAGGCTAAACACGCTCAGCTTTATTCATTGACCAAAATGTTCTTGTGAATAGAATGCAAATCTAGAGACAGTAGAAGCCATAAATGACGGCCTTGAGATAGACCCAAAGCGTGTCCAACGAGACTGTGTGCCTCAATGTTGGACTCCCTACTTTCAAAGATGAAAGAACAAGATCCAAAAAGAGCAGTCGTAGCTATAATATCCTTAATGATGTTTCCATGCAAGCTGCCAGTATCATTCCCGATGTCTTCAACAACCTCTTTGCAGACTGAAGCAATGACCATATGGGAGATATTCAGATCAGAAAATAGAGCCAGTGTCTCACGACATGCGATTATTTCCAGACATGCAGGGTAAATGACACCCAAGAATTTTTAGAGCACATGACCCAACATAATTCCCCGACAAATCCCTACAAATGGTACAAGAAGATCCTTCATTGTTCCCCTCGCAACAGCCCCATCGACCCATATTTTCTCAACACCAGGTGGAGGAGGTATCCAACATGTGCTAGGCCCAGATATCCCCCTAGCTGCTCGAGTTGGAGCTTTTGGGGTTTGCAACTATCAACTTCACTGATGTATTTCTTGATAAATTGATGGGTCGCCCGCGGGCTTTGAAAGAACTGTTTCCGCAAAGCTTTCAATATCCATCATCTTGCATCAGGTTCCATATTTTCCATTAGAACATCAACCAAGTCCGGCTCCTCGAGCGCTCAAACACAACACAGAATGTTCTATTCCAAAAGCGAGTGTCTCTATGAATCGTTGCTCACACAAATACCGCAGTTGCGAAGGTATGACATATGACGGTGCTGAAGCACGTCGACCGTTGGTAAAGATTGTTGGCAAGGACGGTGATGGCAATAAGGAGGAGGAAGAGGATGGCTCCTTCGGCATCATAGCGGCTCCGACATGGACGATGTTGATCAATAGCTTAGGTTTATGCACCGGTGTTATTTTGTCACTAGCTATGTTTAGGGGTTATGCCTGTAAAATTTATAAACTTTAAATAAAATTTGTGCTGTTCACATGTTTGAATGTCCAATATTTGCCCGTTTAGTTACTTATTGCACAACGTGACAAGTGGTGACCCGCATTTCATTACTTTTGTTAAAATAATTGGGTGTTTTCATTTAAACAATGCCAAATTTTCACCCAAACAGTCCAGAAGCGGCTTTATATTTTTTCCCACAAACTAGTGCAATAAGATGGCTCAACACAAAGGCTTTTTTCATTTTCTTTGATTTTTTTTTTCAAAATAGGGTCAGACTTGCAATGTTGACCATTTGTTCGACGCGTTTTTGTACCAAAGAAGTTAAATATGTTTTGTAGTACCTGATATCTTTTTTTTTCTGCTTCTACATAACTAACCCATTTGACTGATTTATTATTTGTACAAGGTTTTTATTATTAGTGCAGGATACCCACGAAAGAGTGAATATGCACACATGGACATGGACTAGAGCATGCATGCATGCATGCCTATCCTTGTACGTGATGCATGGCAAAAGTAAAAGGAGTGCCTACGTACTACAAGCATGCATTGAAGACCAGGTATATAGCAGCAACCTGCACCTCTTTGTCTGTATGCGGCGGCCGTCGCGACCGGCACGTACAGCTACGTACAAATGCCCATACGCTGGCCGGCAAGTGCGCGTACATACCCGAATACCCGCACAACCACTTGAAAATAAAATAGAAATTGATGAACTTTGGAGATAGGGTTAGTCACGCGTTTGGCAGATGGATCGACCCACTTGCCGGCGACTTAAAACTAAGATATGGGTAAGCTATACTTTATTTTGCAGGCGTGGGAGTCAAGAAGCCGAAGGAGAAGATAAGCGCAACCAGTACCGAGATCACGCGTAGCAAACCGGCCGGCTGGATAAGATCCGCCGTTGTAACTACTGCCGAAGATCACGAACGTCGTCGCCATCCATCTATCCTCCCGCTGCCTATATAGAGGCACAAAGCCATTTGCACGGGGCACGCACGCACGGAAAGAGAGACGCCGCAAGGCCGCCGCCATTCGCCAACGCACACATCCATCCATGAGGAGATCCATCCATTCACCAACGCACATATCCATCTATCAGGAGATCTATCCATTACGTAGCACACATCCATCCATCATCCATCTATGCACCCATAACTCACACCCGCACACCTCCAGCATCCAGCCATCGCATCTCATCCATCATCCATCTACGCACCCAAGATACAGGTACAGTGCAGGCAGCCACGCAGACAAGTCCAGATCGCATTGACGGGCGAACGCAGCCGGGCGAGAACACCGGCGCCAGTGACATGGACACCAAGCTCACATTCCCGAAAGGTGAAATTTTGATCTAATACATATATTTCCTTCTTTCTCCTTCACATCCAGCATGCATGCGCCACACGGAGAGTGTTGGGGAACGTAGCAGAAATTCAAAATTTTCCTACGTGTTACCAAGATTTATCTATGGAGAAACCAGCAACGAGGGGAAGGAGAGTGCATCTACATACCCTTGTAGATCGCTAAGCGGAAGCGTTCAAGTGAACAGGGTTGATGGAGTCATACTCGTCGTGATTCAAATCACCGATGATCCTAGTGCCGAACGGACGGCACCTCCGCGTTTAACACACGTACAACCCGATGACGTCTCCCATGCCTTGATCCAGCAAGGAGAGAGGAAGAGGTTGAGGAAGACTCCATCCAGCAGCAGCACAACTGCGTGGTGGTGGTGGAGGAGCGTGGCACTCCAGCAGGGCTTCGCCAAGCACCGCAAGAGACGAGGAGAGAGAGGGGTAGGGCTGCACCAACAGGGGAAGAATTCGTGTGTATGGGCAGCCCAAACCTCAAGTATATATAGGGGGAGGGGAGGGGCTGCGCACCCACCTAGGGTTCCCTCCCTAGGGGTGGCGGCAGCCCCCCAGATCCCATCTGGGTGGCGGCCACAAGGGGGACAGGGGGAGGCGCACCTGGGGTGGGCCTTAGGGCCCATCTGCCCTAGGGTTTGCCCCCCTTCCCTCTTGGAGGCGCCTTGGGCCTTGGTGGGGGGCGCACCAGCCCACCTGGGGCTGGTCCCCTCCCACACTTGGCCCATGCAGCCCTCCGGGGCTGGTGGCCCAACTTGGTGGACCCCCGGACCCCTCCGGTGGTCCCGGTACACTACCGGTAAAACCCGAAACTTTTCCGGTGACCAAAACAGGACTTCCCATATATAAATCTTTACCTCCGGACCATTCCGGAACTCCTCATGACATCC